CAATAAATATTATTTACACGATTATTTTTAATTCCTTAAATCCAGCAAAATAACTCCCTAAAATATACTAATAGGATCCGAAAATTTGAGTTGTGGAAGCTCAATATATTCGGCCCTCATGCTTAAATTTTGGGTGATTTATTTTGGAAAATTTTATTTTTAATTATCTCCTTAAAATCTCTTATTTTTCTTAATTTTTTTTCTCCATCTCCTAAATATTTGATCATCTTATTTTCCCACCTTACATTTTCCTTGATTATTCCCCAAGTAATCTCTTTTTCCATATTATTTTTCATGACAACACACTTTCCTTAATTCTATTATTCTTAATCACCTTAATATCAAAACTTTCCATATTTCTTTCATTCTCTTCTCCAAGTAATTCCTTAATTCTTTTTACCATAATTCTTCCTACATTCTCCTACCATAATTCTTGCATGAGCTAGCCTATAAATACCCTCTTATACCTCTCATATTCTTCACACCAAAAACTCAATTCACTTCTCTTTTACTCTTCTTTTCCCTTAATTTTTTCCTACTTTTCCTCTCCTCTTTTCTAAAAGAAAATCTGCCCGTATATCTTTGGAGCCAATTTTCGGGCACTTCTGGTCAGTTTTGGGGTTTTGCTATCTCACGGAAAATTGTTCCTCTCAATATCAAAGGAGTTATGACCTCTACAAGTTCTGCCTATTCTTTCCAACGCAAATTCAATTCCCTTTAATCCTATTCCTTTATTTTCTTCATGGTTAGTTTTATAAAATATAAATACCTATTTCAAAGTTATAATTTTATACTAAAGTATTATTTTTAAAAGAGTTTTATAGTCCATGCACATTAGATTTGGGTTTATAAAGATGTTGTGATAACCTTATGGGTATGTTAATTGGAAGGTGTATTCGTGATTGAACTTTGAAAGTGTGAAGTGTTGATTGATATTCGGAATCAAGGTACGTTTAGGTGGCTAGATACCTTTGAAATTGATTGGATTGAATAAGCATGTTTTACATGATTTTTATGATGATTGAGTTAAATTGAATTGAATTATGATTTATGAAATAAAGCATGTTTTTGAAAAAAAAATGGTTTTGATAAGTAAATTGGAGGATTGATTTTATATCATCTTTTGAATGGTTTGAAATTATTATGTTTAAAGGAGTTTGGTTTTTAAAAGTATGTTGGATTGTTCTAAAACAGTTTTGAAAAAAAAAAGGTTTGATTTTGAAAGCAAATAAAAGGAATTTTGAATTATGTTGGAATTTTGAAATTAGAAAAGGATTTATTGAATTTTTATTATTAAAGCTTTACAAGCATGTTGATAGTAATCCCACTATGCGAATTTGGTAGATAAGACTTTGGACTTTGTATGATCGAGTCTTTCCTCAAGAATAGCCTTGAAATAGTAGGAGACTAGCTTGGGGGGTGTGCACACTTGGGTGAGGAATTGGTTTTCAAAAGAGGAATTGGTTTTATAAATTGTTTTTATTGAATTATTGAGTTATTGGAATGGTTTTAAGAATCTTGAGAATTGGTTTTGAAACTATGAGTTTTGGAATTATTGGAATAACGTTGGAATTGGTTTTTAAAAGCATGTTTGCAAATAAATTGAATTTACTTATCTTGCACTTTTTCGTACTTAGCATATTTTGCTAATCCGTATTTCCTATTTGTTTTGATTCGCCCTGTTTACCGTAATGGTAAATAGTGTTGACTATTTTCAGGTGGAGTCATGAATGAGCATATGGGAGTCTCGAGATTTGCTTCATCTAGTTTAGGAATGTTGGTCTTGTCTTTGTTTCGAGTACTCATAACAATGTTACTATTTTTATAAGTTTTAATAAAAGAAAGTTGAGTTTTCTGCAAGTTTTGTTGTTGAGTTAAGTATTTTGAGTAGCCTTGCGTAATCACCCGGCGGTAATACGTCTAAGTCTATCTCTACGATATAATTATACGTATTATACTAGTATTTTTGTAGAGGGAGATTTGGGGGTGCTACAAAGTGGTATCAGTTTACCGGGTCTTAAAAAAAAATTAAAATTGGGAAAAATAAAACGGTGGGTAGACATTAAGAGGGCATATAGGATAGAGTTTCGTATTTGTGTGTGAAAGTCAAAAGCTTTATTTTTATATAAAAACTATTTTCCTATTTGTGGAAAGATGATTGAGAAAAGGATGCTCAGGTTCTCTACGGAGGCCTATAATTTGTTTATCTCAAGAAAGCATATGATTCAGTTGAATGGAGTTTCCTTGAAACTGTTCTCGGAGAACTTGGCTTTCCTAATAAAGTGATTAGGTGGATTATGTGGTGTATTAGCAATGTCTCTTACTCCATTCTTAATAGTGGTTTTCCTGCTCCCCTTTCCCAAGCTCAGAAAAGGCTTAAGGCAAGGTGATCCCATGTCACCTTTCCTTTTTGCTATTTGTATGGAGTGTTTATCCAGGTGTCTGCAAGAAATGGTAGCTAATCTTGAGTTCAACTTTCATCCTGCATGTAAGAAACTCAGTCTCACTCATCTAATGTTTGCAGATGATCTTCTTTTATTTGTCAGAGCTAATGCTATTTCTGTCCAACTTCTAGTTAGTGCTTTTCAGAAATTTTCTCAAGCTTCTGGTCTCTCAGCAAATTTTCATAAGAGTGATGGTTATTTTGGAGGTGTTGATGTTGATTTTTAAGTTGTCTCGTTGAATATCTTAGGTATGGTTGCCGGTAATATTCCTTTCAAGTATTTGGGTGTTCCTCTCCCTTCAAAGAAGCATAGTGTCATCCAGTGCAGGCCTTTAGTTGAAAGGATTACTTCTAGAATTGACTCTTGGGAGGCTAGGAATCTATCTTATCCTGGTAGTTTACAGTTAATTAAGAGTGTTTTGTTTGGCATTCAAAAATATTAGGCTCAGATTTTCATCTTGCCTAAGAAAATCCTTCAGGAAATGGAAGCTAAACTTAGATGCTTTCTTTGGACAGGGAAGGGTAATCCTTCCAGAAAATCTTTAGTTGCCTAGAAGTTTCTTTGTCTCCCAAAATCTTGTGGTGGCTGAATATTACTTCCCTAGATGACTGGAACAATGCTGCTATCACTAAGATCCTTTGGGAGCTGTCTTATAAAGCTGACAGTCTTTACGTGAAATGGGTGCACATATATTATTTCAACAAGAAGGATTTCTAGAGTTTTGCTATTCCTAACAAGTGCTCCTGGGTACTTAAGAGGATTCTGAAATGCAGAAATCTTGTTGAGACTGTTGGTGGCTGGGATAATATTGTTGAAAGAGGAAAAATGCACATCAGAAAGTTATATAAGCTCCTGATTCCTCATGCTCCTAAGACATATTGGAAAAGAATTATTTGCAATAATAAGGCCTCACCTAAGAGCTTATTCATTACTTGGCTTGCTTGTTGGGATAGGCTTGTAACAATGACAGATTAATCACTTGGCATATACCTTGTGATCTGATCTGTTTCTTATGTAATGCTGTAAATGAGAGTATAGTGTTGCTCATCTATTTTTTTTATTGTTGTTTTTCTAAGAATGTTTGGAAGCAAATGCTGGAGTTACTTGGCTATATGAGACCTGTGCAAGGCGTTCAAGTTGAAAAGCAATTGGCTAGTAAAATTTGCAGGAAAGGTACAGCTAGAAGCAGGCTCTATGCTATGTGTTTTGCAGAAGCCATTCATGGTATCTGATTTTTACAGGCAGCTGCAAGTCTTCTACTCAAGTTTACAGAGATGTAATTTTTAATGTAACTTGTAGATGCACTGAAAGAGATAGGAAACTTTTGCTTATTTGATCCTATTTTGTCCTGTTCCTAGGCTTGGTGAGTTCTCTTCTTTGTAGGAGGCTTTCTAGTCCTGAGTTTAGTTTTAATAGGCAGGTTTTGATCTTGTATTTGCTAGCTTTGATTTTGGTTTGCTTGTCTGGTCCTGGATTCAGGCACCCTTCCTAGTAGGTGGTCTAGTTCCCTGAGTCTAGTAGTGTTGTTCTTAATATTTTGATGAACCCTTCCTAGAAAACTCTAGGTGTTGGGTTGCCTTGTTAGGCTTGTGTAGTTGGGGGATACAACTCAGCTTGCTGTAAGTTGTATTTGATCTTGCTTTCTTTTGGTAATAAAATTTTAATTTACCAAAAAAAAAAAAAAAAGTATGTAATGTAATCCCACTATGCAGATTTGATTGATAGGACCATTTCTCTTTATGAGTTCATAGATTGACCATCAAAATGGAGTCATTTTGTTGACCTTTAAACCGTAGGGTCGAAAATGGGTAGTCCTATACAATGTTTTCAATAAATCGTTTTGGTATAAAATTAAGATAGAGATTAAGAATAGGATAAAATCACTATCTATAAAAGTTCGGAAAAAATATTTGTACTTATTGAAAAGAAGGATCATCTTGAACTAATGATAGAGAAAGTGATGAAATATGCTAGAATGGTAGAGAAGATCAAAAGGAGGAGCCACAATCCATGATTGGGTAGTTCAATATTTTTAACAGTATAATAACTGTTAGACGGTCTTTTGCAAGAATTTGCGTTGATCTATACAACTACGCGTACTTAAATTCCACAAATAGTTCCCTAGCTGCTATATTCCAGTACAAAGTTGCTAAAATAGTGCTGATTCAAAAAGATCAATTTAGGGGTCAGAGGTGATGAATTTTCTTTCATCATCAATCGAATCTAAACAACATTCACAATACATATATAGTTACATATTTCCTAATCAAAACAAAAAGTAAGAAATTTCCCTAAATAGTAGTAGGTTGTTATTATAGGAAAGAGTCAGATATCTTGTTGAAATAGATTCTTTCTATACAAAATATACTATATGATGTCACCATTTCCCTTTTAGGCGTGGAAATTTATCAAAGATTCCTATTTGTACTACAAACATATTTAGGCCATAGAACAAATATTCTTGACACTACAATATTTCATCGTTCATAAATCATAATCATCACCACAAAAATTTGATCATTTTTTCCCAACAAAAATACAGCTGAAATCTATGCATCATCACCAAAGAATGTAAACACTAACATTATTGCAAAATTGCAACAGCAATTTTCCTGCTGAATAAATGTCTAAAATATGAAATCGATCGCAGCAGACCAGCAGTATAGTAGCCAGCAAACATATAAAGATATGCAAGCATCATATATTCTAAGGAGCAAGTTCCCCATATCATTCTCAACTTGTCCTCAATGAATGTCTAATATAATAGGAAAAAGCAACTTAGTAAGAAAAACTACCTTGGGAGTTATCAAAATTCAGTTCCACTCCACATTAGGAGGGGGAGGGGTTCATTAATATTTCTACACAACAGGCTCACACTACAAAGAATGAAACAATATGCCTAGGTAGTGCGATACGTATCGCTTATCGATAATCTTGAGGCTTTTCCTCATGCGCGCTACTTCTTCTTTTCGTGTTTTTGTCATCAGCTTACTTGTTGCTGATTGCCGTACACAGGGTAGGCTCCGTAAGCTGCAGCTGCTGCAGCATACATGCTTGGGTCATGAGGGTGTGGCACGTATCCGTAACCACCATCATATATGTGTCCTCCGTAGTAGCCTCCGTTCCACTGATTTCCATAATCACCTCTTGACTGCCATCCATAAGTGAAGTGTAATTAAGGAATGATTACAGTTGAAGGCAGAGTATAGAATTACAAAAACCTGAAATATAAACAAGAAACAAACAGGGGCATGAGAGAAAATGTACCTGTTTGTTTGCAGGGTTGCGGCCCCATGAAAGACGGACAGTTTGCTTTCCTATCACTGACCCGTTCAGCTTATTCAAAGCCTCTTCAGCATGACCTCTGCAGGTGATACAATCGACCGTTATAATGTAAGCAATCTACTGACAGTTCAGATCACAAAATTTTTTTCAGAGCATGGTATAAGCCTCACCTGTTAGCAAATTGCACGAATCCACATCCTTTCCCTACTGGAATTTTAACAGAAACTATCTCCCCATATTGGGAGAAAGGTTGCCTAAGATCCTCATCTGTGACACTAGGATCAAGCCCTCCAACAAAAATCTACAGTTATAAAAAGATAGATTCTTAAGTGAAAGACAAAACAAAACAAATTCATCTCCTAACTGTATCCACACAATAAATTACTCTGGAAAGTCTATTACAGTTGTGTTTGACGAATCTCCTTCAGATTGAGAGCCTTGTCCAGCATTGTTATTTGATCCGTATCCACCTAGCAGCAAAAGATTATTTGTAAACACAGACATAAGAGTTCATTAATGTCAAGCATCTATCTTTTGAGGAAATAGATTTTCGAGAATAGCCAAATCTTTATCATCAAGCCCCCTCCTGATTTTTGTTTTTCCTTTCTTCATAACCAATCATGGTCAATGAATCATGATATGCAATATACACTTGAGAATGACAGCTTCATGCTGCCCACATATCATATACACATACATAACATCAAAGGATTGAAAAAATGGAACCTTATTCAAATTTGGTGTTTTTGTCTGCAAAGACAGTATCTCTGATGAGCTTAATATTTGGTTATTAGCATGTAGTTGCAAATTGGTCTTTCACGAGAATATCTCTTCCTAACAAACTTATAAACTAGCAGCAACGATCTGAAGCCACTTATTCAACGATTTATGCACAAAAGGCATGTTTTACCCTATCATTAAAAAGGTTAGCAAAGAAGGGAAATTCCGGAGCTTCAAATAAGTATAAATATCCAATAATAGACTACAGAAGATAGAAAATTAAAGCACAGTAAACAAGTGCTACCTCAGCTTAGTGTTAATCCAAAACAGACTATTGGATAATTTCATATATTGGGATGACTGAAGATCTATAGAGATGTAGATAATGTGAAAGAAGTATGCAAACAAAGGTCAACCATGAGAGGTTAACTCATAAAAAGAATAAGATCAAAGATTGATATTGTTTCTACTTGGAAGAGAAGCATGACTTTAGTTAAGGTTTGATTTTTAGTTGTTTATGGATGGAGCTGCCAAATTTAAAGCAAAACTTGCTTGAATTGCTCTCTAATTTTGTGGGTCTGTACCTATGCAATGATTGCTAGAAATAACGGAGAAAAGACATTCACTTTAAGACTAGTATTTGGGCATATATGTTGTAATTCCATGACACTCAACCAAAAGCCAATGCAATTACCTTGTTGATATCCAAGAGATTTTCGAGGAGTTGCAGGGCCAATCCGCATTGGCCTGGTTGAACAATAGACACCATTCATGTCAGTCATAGCTTGAGTCCTTTCGCTATCATCCCCAAATCTCACAAAACCATAGCCTTTAGACCGACCAGTATTGGCATCGATGACAACTTTTGCAGCCTTAACAGAGGGGTATTTAGTTGCAAATAATTCATGCAACATAGTATCAGTCACATCTGCAGCTAAGTCTCCCACAAAGATAGAAAGGTCAGATCCATTGTCTGTACGCTTATCACCCATGCTAAAAGTTGCCCAGTTCAGGCGGAAAGGCTGCTCTGCGTTAGGCATCATGAGGCCTGGGTAACTCTGCAGAACCTTATCGGCAATAGCATGAGTAAAGAATTCAACAAAACCGTATCCTTCTGATGCACCAGTCTGCTTGTTGCGGATAACCTTAACAGATGCTATCTGCATCAGCAATCAAACCAAATTTAGTACAAGTCTTCAATTTGCCAATATAGGATAACAAATTTTTACAACCTAAATCACCTAAACATGAGAATATTCATGGACTTTGAGTCCTTGAACAGCAGCTAATCAATCATCAAATCACATCAAAATACATCTCAAACTCATGATTCTGTTCAAAAAAACATACGAATATATTTCAAATATAAGAGCCAACACATGATACTTAGAACAGAACAATATGAACAATAAGAGCCAGCTGATTCAATAGTAAGCCTAATAGAAACGATAAAACATATATATCTGATTAATCTGAAATTAATAATTTTTTAGCACTATTCCGCAACAACTGCTTCATACGATTATATGAAAGCCCTAACGCAATTACCACACAGATAGCATACCAAAATCAAGCTATAGGTCACACAACCTACCTAGTTCCTCAAGTTTATAGTGCCTAAAATCGAACCATTACTTTCGAAAGCAATAACTATTCTTTCACAGTATCATATCTCATTCACAAAACAAACAAATTCCTTAATTCAATTAGAATGATACTGATTCATTAATAATACATCCCAAGAAGCTAGCTATATATTACTTAAAATGGTAAGCAATTCTTCCAAGGTAATTGCTTTCCTTTTACATACAATACAATATTCAATATGCATCCTAATTTGCCACAAATATCCGACTTACTAAACGCAAACTAAATATTACTAGAAAAACCCAAGATCTAAATCAATTCAACAAACATGAACAAAAATTAAAACCCACAAAAAATTTATTACTTAACAAAATATAGCATAAAAACCCAATACAATAAATTCTTTAAACAACAAAAAAAAAAAATATAAATCCATTATAGAAACACATCTCAATCAACATTTAACGTCACAAAATACAATAAAAAGCATCAAAAAATAAAGAAATCTACAAATTAAAATAAAATAAAAAATAAAAATAATAAAAACAAAGAAGAAAGAAGAAGACCTCGCCAGCAGAAGCAAAACAGCTGCTCAAATAAATCTCATCCATCCAATGGTGCAAATCACCAACCCAGATAGTCTTATTCTCACCACTTGACCCATCATTATTATTATTAATCCCATTATTATTACTACCACTATTATTATTTCCAGTATTACTATGACTATTACTGTTACTGTTATTATGATTATTATTGTTATTATGATGGTGGTTATTTCTTTGGTGGTGGTGATGGTGATGCGGCGGTGGTGGCGGCTGCATATAAGCAGCATGATGCGGATGATACGCCGCCATATAGTGTGGCGGCGGTGGGTAATGCTGCGGAGCCGCCATCATCTGATGTTGCATTACCATAGCCGCAGCCGGGTATTGCATCCATACAGCACCTGCTGGTGGGGGTGTAGCCACAGCTCCTGCTCCTGCTCCTGCTCCTGTTCCTGACTGCGGGTTCGTTCCGCTGTTGCTGTTTTGATCAGATGATGAATTACCACCATTACCTCCACCGGCACCGCCACTGTTGTTGTTAACACTGGATTGCTGCATCCTCTTACTTCCAATCTATCTTGCTTTTGTTATATGATATGATTTTTCTCAAATTATGAAATAAGGAAGAGGAGGAGGAGAGAGAAAAAGAAAAAAAAAGGGTTTTGAAGAAAGGGAGGCTGCTGGGGTGGTAAGGGAAGATGGGTTTATTTAGATAGATAGAGATGAGTTTTGTTTTCTGTTTGTTTTTTTTTTTTTTTAAATTTTAATAAAAAAAATAAAATATGGGGAATTGGATTTGCCCTCACTCTGTAAAAAACGCGGTCACTGTCGTAGCCGTTGGATTGGATTTGGCTGCAGACTGATCTGTGCCGTCAATTGTACGGTGTGGAGCGTTGAAAGAGAGCAGCTAGCACTTAGCAGAATTAGAGACTTTTAGAGATAGAGAGAGAAACACACCATTTTGTCAATTTGTCAATTTGTCAATTTGTTATTCTTACTACTGCTGGTCGTTGCTACTCCCTTGGTTTTTTTTTATTTTTTATTTTTTATTTTTTTTTATTTTATTATATTTTTTTTATATTTTTATTTGGAACTTAAATCTAATGTAGTATATAGCATTGATTGTAAAATTACTTAATTAGGTTGACTTGTTCAAATGATGGTGTAAATTTTGGTCATTACTATATATGTTTAACTGTTTAAGCATACAAATGATGTGGTCTAAAATTTAGTAAGCTATGTAGGTTTATTTTTAGTAATGGATCTAATTGCATGTAATTTGATTTGAGTGAAGTAGTTTTGGAATGGATGGGGTGAGTGTGCAACGATATATATGTTACACTTTGGGTAAATTATCTATAAATGAATATAGTTCGGAGTTCAATACCAGCTGTATGAAGGACTAAATTAGGTTATAGATAGGTTTTTTTTTTTTCTTTACTTAATTATTTTGTAGTATTATCAATGGTAACTTGTGTTTATACATAGAGAATTGTCGATTACAGTTTCTGTTACTCCATTTAATTTTTTTTATAACGGAGCACTTAAAAAGTTCTCTTGGTACACAAATATTAAAATACATTTATGTGTTTTAAACTTTTCTTATAAATTTTTGATATCGACTATCTCCTTACCTTTTATGAAGCTGATTTCTACCAAGCTTATTTTAGGGGATCGAAATTTACTTGTAGTCTCCCCTTTCTCTGTTAAGGCGAGTTTTTGTTACATACTAATGAGCCAAAAATGAATCTTGATGACTATAATAAGCTAAAACAAGAACAATGTGAAAACTAAGAACTCGATAAAAAAAATAATAAAAAAAAATAGAAAAAAAAGGGAGAGATTGTATATAGAAATTATTTAACATTTTGTTTGGATGTATATTTACTATACAACCTGTTAAATATGATGAAATACAGTCAATGTAATTTTTGTTCCCCAAATGTTTGTTACTATTGTGTAATGAACAAATGGACAAAATAGCAGTTTACGTTATATCATACACAGCCATGAGTAGAGGTTTTAATTCAGATCTTGAAGTCAGAACGAGTCAAATCAGGTTTCGAGTCAAATAGATCAGGTTCGAGTTCAGGTTAGATTTAGTTCGATTTGAATTATGTCAAGTCGTTTACCCTTTTTAGCTGTAAATCGGGTTCAATTCGAGTTAAATTCAAGTCAGGTTCACTTTCAGGTTCAAGTTTTATCAAGTCATGTTTAGGGTGGGTTTATGGTTGGCATTTTTGAGTTCGGGTTGGATAATCTTTTAGTTATTTCATTCTTGGTTTTGGGTCAACTACAAGCGAATCAATTTTGCTCTGTCAAGTTGAACTTTTGTAATTAGGTTTTAAAAAATCTGATTAACCATTATGAGTATGCTATTGAACCTATATAATTGCATACAAAAAGGGCTAATTGACCAGATTGGAAAATAAAAAAAGACCCCCTAGTGACAATTTGGTAAGAAAAAGCAAACCCCAAGCGACAATTGGTAAAAAAAAAAAAAAAAAAAAAAAAAAAAAAAAAAAACCAAACCTCACGCGACAACAAGTAACTCAAATGTATCAATATGCTGTTAAATTCTACAACTCTATCATGGTAATCAAATCAAACTCAAGACTAATTTTGTTTAAATTTTGTTTGGGTTGGGTAAAAAATAGGTTAAGTTGACATCTGATTTCATGTTATTTTTAGGTTTGGTCAATGGCTAGTCAAGTTAACAGACAATCCCCTGTCAAAGTCAACTTAACATACAATAATCCACCATCAAAGAAAAAGCAAATAAACAGAGAATTCAATTAAGATTAAGTTACGAGTCACTATGAGTTTGGCCAGTAATAAGTTGTGTCGAATTATTAACGGTTTCGGGTCTTTATTGAGCAAGTGTCAATTTGAGTTTGGATCATTGTTAGGCCAAGTTAAGTTAAATGTTGGTTAATACCAAGTTGAGTGCGGGTTCGAGTTTGGGTCATAAAGTATCGAGTTAAATCGGTTGTCGGTTAATATCAAGTTGGTCTGGGCCGAATCACATGTCACTTGCTTCACTCATTGTTCGGTTACAAATTGAGTTATTAAGGCCATTGTCGGTACAGGTCAATTTTTTACTATATTGAGTCAATTTTTGTCAAGTCCAATTACAGGTATAATCAAGTGTATAATACACTTATCCTATTGCAATCACTTGAGAAATGATTGTACTTTTATTTATACTCTAGGCTGGGCAGTTCATAACATGTAAACCTTTAGTTTTCCGTATTAAGATGAGACGGTAGATTTGGTAAATGTGAAAAGAAAGAAACTGACACAAAAATGGGGGTGTAACTGTAAGTATACTTTTAAGGATAAATTTCATAGTCCCGTCATGAGTTAAGTAATTCACGTGCTAATGGATGAGTGATGATGCATGGTATATGTATGTATGTTAAGATAGATGTATGGCAGATATTTATAAAATGGCAGGCTTTGATTAGATTTATTCATGTTCGATCTTTGGATTATAAAACAACCAACATTTGCGGTGAACACCCTTTTTGTGTGCACATATATAAACCCTAATTTTGGTAGCCACCTTTAGACCCCTTCTATTTTTGTTACCTTAATATTCTATTTATGTGATTTTGCCATTAGTGAAGAGTTAGTGCTTTTTTATCAATTAAAAAAAAAAAAATGTGTGTGTCACTGTTGATCCTCCATAATTTATCTTTTTAATTTTTTTTTACTATTATTATAATTACGCTTGCTATTTTTTTTAGTCCTATTTAATCTTAAAAGATTGGAAAATTTGTCGATTGCAATTGATTAGGGGATTTTGCTCCCACCAATCGGAATGCGCCACGTGGGCCAATCAGGTCCTGCCAAGTGTCCCCCAGTTGGAACTGTCAGGGCTTGCCACGTGGCACGCGCTTATTCGTCCACCTTGGACCTATTATGTCATGACATGTGGCATACTCCATGCCTAATGGAGAAACCGGCCACCCAGACCCAACTTCCGAGGGAAGCCCAATCGGCCCTAGGTTAACCTAAACCTAGGATGGGCACATTAATTACACACAGTAATAACCGGCTGATCTCGCTAACAAAGCAGATTACCTACATTAAACACTCTCACCTAGAGAGACCCAATCACTTTAATTTCCGCATTAATTACTCCTTAATCAAGTACTAACTTGACCGTTGGAGGCGGAGCTCCCACCACCAGGAGTCTCCGTTATTTTGCAGGTACAGGCGTCCGGTTCCAGTCTCGGAATTGTAACTCTCCCGCAGGACATCAGAAAACCCCAAAACATTTGGCGCCGTCTGTGGGGAGAGTACTTCTGAGATGGCATCCAAGTCTGTACCGACTCCTGAAGAGAGGCGTCCCCTAGACGACCCTCAAGTTCAGTCGGACCATGATACCGAGAGTGAATTTGAAGTTGAAGCTCACACAGCTTCAGACGGGACCCTAAGGGCCCGACGTACCCGTCATACCGAAAGGAGGGAACGGGAACCTCTTCAAACTGGAAGTGAGCCAGCAGGCGCACCGCCAGTTCGGCAACAGCCGACTGATGGGTCTGCTCCCATCACAAGGAACGAACTCATGACCTTCATGAGGGACTTCAAGGGAGAGATTCAAGAGTTGATCAACAAGAAGCCGCCTGCTCCAGTCAAGGAGCATTCGGCTAAGAAACCCTCCACTTCACTGAAGAGGAAGCCAGTTCAAGGGCGAGAGGCGACTCCTCATCCTAAATCTAGGAAGCGGGAGCCACCTGCCCTTGATTTCACAAAATTCCGTTTTCCTACAGGAAATAGGAAACCTGTTCGTCATATTCAGGCGGACGGGTCGAAGCAAACATTCACAGACGCTCGGCTACTGCTAGAGCAGAAGAAGAGTGACCGATTGTCAGAGTCGGCCTCTACTTCAAACTTTCAAGACAGTCTGCGAAATGCCTCGATGAGGCATACTCAGTCGTATCATGAGAGTCAGTCAGGCGGCACCTCCCGTCAGTCCGGCTTTCATAGCGACCAGGCGGTACCAAACTTACCATTTGTGCCGCAACAACAGTATTTTTTGCAGCCACCTCCGTTTGGTGGACCTGCAGCAAAAACCGTCCAACCTATGGACTGGCAGCTACGGTTGCTTAGACTTGGTGAACAGCCGTCGGCCTTCTCCAAGAAAATTACTGAAGCCGCTCAGCCGGCCAAAGTGAAAAATGTACTAGTAGGCGCCTATGACGGCACTACTAACCCAGAAGACCATCTGATGGCATTCACCAACCTGATGTACCTTCAAGGGTTGGATGATCCCACTTGGTGCAAGTGTTTCCCAGCGACTCTCAAAGGAATCGCACAACAATGGTTCGGCAACCTGCCGACTGGTTGTGTAAACAGCGTCAGGACGCTTGCTTACTTATTTGCCTCCAACTTCGCCATGAACATCCCTGCGAAGAAAACGACCCTTGATTTGGGAACAATTCAGCAGGGCGAGAAGGAGGGGCTTCGTTCTTACATCAGGCGGTTCAACCTGATGAGAATACAGATTCAAGGGTTACCGGATGAGGTAGCTTATACTGACTTTTTTAGAGGTCTCAAAGACGGGTCTACCTTCAAATTTGATTTAGTTCGAAAAAGGGTGGCGACTCTTCAAGAGGCCTTGATTGAAGCAGAAGCCTATATACAGGCGACTGATCTGTGTACGATAAAACAGTCGGATGGGAAAAGGTTCGACAAAAGAGAAAGACGACAGAAACAGTCGTCTAACAAAGATGAGAAAAGAAAAGAGGTCTGGGCGGTTGATTCCTCTAAACAGTCGGCCCAGAAAAAGAAAAAAGAATTCAAACCATACTCCCCAAAGTATGTGTTTAACAAGGATAACCAATTTATCCTAAAAGAAATAAAGGGACGGTTCTCAATTGAGAAGCCGGTCCCCATGAATGGTTCTGCAAACAACCGGAACCAAGAC